CACCACCCGTCCACCCCCCCCGCCATTCACCATCCATCCACCCATCCAATCTCTATCCTTAATCCGTATTGTACCGAGGACCTTCTGTGAGTCAGACGCGGGCTGGGTGCTGTGTGTCAGGCTGCAGTGAAGACACGGTCTTTGTTCTCAGAACTCACAGTGCACTGGGGAGTAGGAAGTCAGGACACCATCAGCTGCAGGGGTTGGAGAGCAAGAGCTAAGGAGCCCAGGGAAGGAGGGCCACCAGGAAGAGGAATGACTCAGGTGGGAGCTTCCAAAGGGCTGTGGTCTCTGAGCCGTGTGTCATCTGGGGGACCTAGCACTTTGCAGGCCCGAGTGTCATGGTGGCTCTGCCTGGGTCGAGGTCCGGGTGTGGCTGGGGTCCAGGAGTGCCCATTCCCTGGCCACCATCCTGACGCAGCTCCTTGCTGGTGATGCTCGGCTCCTGGCCCCCAGCACAGGCCTGCCGGCACAGAGGGACGGAGGAGGGCTGTGAAGGAGTCCGTGAACGTGGATGGCATTTCCCTCTGTCGTGAGCAGGCTGCTGAGGCCTGAACGGTGCCTATGATCTTGTCACCTGAGGACAGTGTGGGCACTTCCGCATCCCATCCTGGCTCTTGTAGATTGTCTGAAAATAAGGCTTATGCTCATGGCTCCCTAACCATTGGGGTGGTCGCTGGGCATGCCCCAACCTGGCTATGTGATGCAGGAGGACAAACCCCGGGCTACGATGCTGCAGGCTGGTTCTTTAAACATTTTAACCACTGTGTTTCCATATTGTTGATTTCGTTGGTTTTTCTATTTATTCCATTTTATGCAGGTAAAACCTTATTCTGGAAGGGGTGCCTAGGCAGAACCGGAAGCCAAAGATGTCCACGGGACAGCAGGGCTGAGACCCAGCCCCTGACCTAGAGTGACAAAAACCAACAGTACCAATAAATAATTATAATTAAAGCAAAATTAACAGATGATGCCTCTGCCCCCATCACTCCTGGTCCAACTCTGAGGGTCCCTTTGGTGCTTGGGCCGCCTCGGGTATGTGTGTGGGAGGGTCCTGGTGAAAAGCGCCCACAGGGCCACAGGGACACTGGGATAAGGCAAGCGGGCACCCCTTTGTCAGCTGCTCCCCGCAATTGAGGGAGCAGCACCTGCTCTGGCCTGGGGGCCGCTCAGGAGCCCGAGGACCCCATGTCAGACTGAGAGCAGAGGGCAGGGTGGAGCCTCTCTGATGGGGCTGCCTCTGGGATTGGAGGGCCCTGCCTCCTGGCAATGACCAGCGCCTCTCCCTGGCCAGTGGCTTCCCCGGGGTTGGCATCAGGGCCCTCCATCACCTGCTCTCTGAGACTGGAAGGCCCTGTGCCCCCCAACACGCCTCCCCTTCCATGCTAGGAGGCCTTGCTTAGCCCCCGGCGCCCCATAGAGCCCTGCACGGGAAGGCAGGAGTGCGGCCCGGCCTCACCTCTTCCCAGCTGCGGGCCTTGGCAAAGTTACTTAGCATCTCTGGTTTCCTAGTCTGGACAAGACAGCTGCAGGTCTGACCTCAGAGCAAGCGGACAGATGAAGGGTGCTTGGCCAGCTCTGGTCCCGTCCTTGGGGCCTCATGGAGTGAGGACAGTAATGTCTTCACATTTCTGTGTCTCAGCAGCTCCGGGCACTGTGTCCCCGGGCCTGGCACAGTCCCTGATGCCTGAGTGCCAAGCCCAGTGTCCTTGGTGATCCTGGTGGGGGCGGCAGGACCCATGTGTCAGACTCTCTGAGATGCGGACGGCAGCTTCAGTAAAGCCTTCCACAGGCCACTTCCAGATTAGAATAGAAAACCAGTTTTCTTTTTGTGGCACAGTCAGGGCCTTCTAATGCCGTCAGGGGCTAAGAAGCAGGAAGGATTGGGTTTTGTTTGAGAAGACGCAGAAGATGGGGAAGGAGGGGGGGGGCCTCTTAGTGGGGGATGGGCTGAGCCGGCGGGAGCGCGTGTGTCTGTCCCACACACCACCTGTGTCCAAGCCTTGGTGATGAGCTGGGGGGCACTGGGGATGTTAGCTTCTTCCAAAGGAAATGGGGCTAGCAGGCCTTTTTGGTAAGTGGGGCTGGGCTCTCTGGCCTTGCTGTTCACAGATTGGGATGCTCCTTCTATACCCCAGGGGGGAAGCCTGTGTGGTCAGTGGGGTGCTGGGCCAGGCCCAGGCAGGGCAGCCCCTAGGGGATTCACCAGGTCTGCGTGTCTCCATGTACACATGCATCAAGAAACACAGGACAAAATGTAAGAATTGCAACCAGGACCTTTGTGTGAATGATAACCATAGGCCTTTTCACTGGTTCGTCCGTGTGCCCCAGACATACCGGCCGTGTGTGTGGAGGGCAGTGGGCTGGGGCCCTACTGTGCGGCTTGACCGCTGCCCGAGGTACCTGCCCAGGCTGCATGGTGGTGGGTCCTGGGGTTAGCTTCACTGCTAATGGCATTTGTGGAAATATTTTACCATTACCACTTAAAGTTTTTAAAGAATGAGGTAGGAATTGAAAAATCGTTTCTTAAAGATCTGCTCATTTTGAGACCCCTGATGCTGTGGTTTTGAAGAAATGCAGTTTGGGAAACAGACCAGACCCATCTGCAGATGCTCCCCCAGGGAAGGTGTGGCTGAGAAGTGCAGCCCAGGCCAGGGGACAGATGCTAGGTCCATGCCGGGGGAAGGAGGAGGTGGGGAGGGGCCCCTGCCACCCACTGGTCCCCCCACCCCCGAGGTGAAAACAGCTACTACTTTATTTATTTATTTAAGATTTTATTTATTTGAGAGAGAGAGAATGAGTGAGAGAGAGCGCGCACATGAGAGAGGGGAGGGTCAGAGGGAGAAGCAGACTCCCTGCTTAGCAGGGAGCCCGATGCGGGACTCGATCCCAGGACCCCAGGATCATGACCTGAGCCGAAGGTAGTCGCTTAACCAACTGAGCCACCCAGGCGTCCCAACAGCTACTACTTTAAGTTAATGTTTTCTGGAGCCTGGGAACAGTAGGGCGCAGGGTGGTTTGCGTCTCTGATTTTGCATTTGTTCCTGGCGGCTCGGCACTCAGCCTGCGTCCAGCACCTGTGAGTACCTCTGAGGTTGGTTCAGCCTGAGCAGTCGGGCGAAGGTTTCCAAGACTCTTCTGTTTCAGCAGCCAGGCGAGAGGAGGCCAGCCGCCCAGAGCTCTGCAGTGTGCATTTCCCACTGCGGGGCCCCGGCTGCCCACTTCTCCGTCGGGGACCGGTGGATGGTGCTGTCTCCTGAAGGTGGCCATTGCATTCTGGGAGCATGAGGCTGACCTCTGACACTGCGTCCTGGTTGCGGTCAGCGGAGATGAGGGGTCCCCAGTGGGCACACTCCACCTCCCCGCTGTCCACGTCCTGCCCGTTTGGTCTATTCCACCGCCACATTTAGGAAATTAAATGGCCAGACTGCCTGTTGGCACAGCCAGGGTCAGGCTCACAGGCTTCTGCATGTCTAACACATTGTTCTGCGTCTGGGGTCTCAGGACGCCCCTCGGGGGGAAGCGTCTCCCCTCCGGAAGCATGCAGAAAGCAGTGTTCTGGTAGGACTATATTTATAGATGTGAGAACCGTTCTTCTGGTGTGTTGTTACTTTGTTGTTGTTACTCTGTTTGCGGTATGTTCTTACTTTGTTTTTTGTGTCCAAAGCAATGTGTACAGTGTGATTCCATTTTTGACAGTGGACCCCCATCTGTCCCGGCACAGAAGCATCCCCAGGTGGTGAGCTGGTGCCTGGACAGCAGGGTTACAAAAGGCCCTGATTTCCTTTTTCCATTTTCCCCGGGGAAGCGAGCTGGTTGCTCCATGTGAGGTGTTGCAGTGGGGTCCCTGTGCCCCACGTCGCTTCAGCTCCGACACGTGGTACGTTTTTCTCTTCCAGTGACATCTTTGACGCCATGTTCCCTGTCATGCACATCGCCGGGGAGACCGTCATACAGCAAGGTGCGTTCCCTGCTTCTCTGAGCTAGAGCATGGGTCCCGGGGGCCGTGGGTGTGCCCAGGGTGTGGACACAAAGCCCGCTGTCCACCCTCAAGGAAGGTCACTAAGGAGACCAGAGCACGTCGCTCTGCACTCGTTAACGGAGTCGAACCCCAGGATGGGCCAGGCGTGGACCGCAGGTGCCCCGGCCACGCGAGACACAGGTGACCGCGCCACGGGAGCGCGTGCCGGCCACGTCGCTGTCCGTGTGTGTCGGGCCGTCGTGGTGTTTGTACACGTTTTATTTTTAAAAGATTAAGGGAAAAACGTGTGGAACCCAGAGTTGCTTGGCCTCGGTGAAGCGAGGCTGCAGGTACTGCATACAGGGAGGCCGGAGGTGCCCCATGTGGTACCCTCCGCATGGTCCATGGTCTCTGCTTTCTTTCGTTCCAGGGGACGAAGGAGATAACTTCTATGTGATCGACCAAGGAGAAGTAGATGTGAGTACCTCTTACCGGCTCCGGAAAACGGCGCCTGTGTCCACGGCCAGGTCAGGGAAGCAGCTTGTGGGCCCTGCCGTGCTGGACAGCAGTGCCAAGGTGTGCAGCTCTGGGCCGACCCCGGCCGCTCAGCCGCTTAGTGTGGGCCGTTCGCCTCCTCACACCCACCCTACATTCATCTAAGTGCACTCAGGTCCAACGGGAGGGTGTCTCTTTGCAAACTGTAAAGTTCTGCTGTCTTGCCCCCCTGTCCCAGCACCCTTCAGAGGTGGGACGTGACTGACGGGGAGGAAGTGGCTGGCTTGGCCTGCTCATCCTGATGGGACCCCCTGCCCACCCCCTCAAGGGAGGTCCCAGAGCCTGGCCCCAGAGCCCCCTCGAGATGGGGTAGGGGTCGCCAGGCTCTCCCTAGGCTCCCTGTGCTTGCTACCTTACGCCGTGCCAGGGGCCATAGCTGGCTTTTCTTGAGGCCGGGGACCCATGGAGGCAGTTTGGGGAGTGGGAAAAGTGAGGTCACCTTCTAGCCCCCTAGCCCTGGCCTCAGAGGCTCAGGTACAAAGGCGGCTTTACAGTGCTCACTGGACCCTGGCTCGCCTAAGCCAGGATGTCCGGGCCCGTGGGTGGATGTCTGAGTCCGGCTGTAGTCTCAAATTTGGGCCAGCCAGCCCTTGAAGGGACAGGCAGTGACTTGTGGGGCCGCCCCACAATGCCCGTCGGGGTCCCCCACCAGCCTGTTCGGGTTCCCAGCGGGCAGGGCAGGCGGGGAGCCCTCCTGTGATGTGGGACGCACCGGGCAGTGCAGCGCTGTGGGTGAAGGCCACATTTAAGGGAATCAAAAGAGCTCAGTCAGGAATCCGGGATGAAAAAGTGGCATGTGGGCTAGCTGGGGTGAGTTATGGGGTATGTATTATAATAATTACTGTTATTACTGCTCGCAGATGCTCTGAGGCCCGAACGCTGCGTTTGTGTGCTCGCTTCTGTAAACTGCCTTCCAGGGTGCAGGGGAGCGACCTGGCTGACCTGGCCCAGGGTTGCGCCTAGGACAGTGTCGGGGCTGCTGACCCTGGCTCTTAGGCTCCAGCAATGCTGGTCTCATGGGGGTGGGGGGCTCACCATGTGCTGAAGCCCCGCAGGAGGCAGGTTCCCCCGGGACCCCAGCCTGGCCCTCTGCCTGGCTGGGCTCAGGGGTGGGCATCCCGTGTACCCCTCCTCTTCTTCAGGGTGGACGCTGCCCTCTGACCAGCAGGTGACCAATGCCAGAAGCACCAGGTTCAGTTTAAATTATGGTTTTCCAGAGAGACACCACAGTGTGTGTGTTGCCAAGAGCTATAATCCATTTTTCTAAGTATAAAAATATCTTCCAATTTGTTTTATTCATGGAACATAGCATTTCTACTTAAAAGGATACTCGGCTGCCGATTTTAGGGCTCAGGAACATAGTTCTGTCTGAGGCCTGGCTCCTCCCTAATCCTGCGAGGCCTTCACTATTTTCGGACCCTCCTTTGTGCTGGGACCCTCCCGCCCTCCGGCTCCGGCCCCACCCGGTTCCCTCCGGTTTCTAGCCTCTGAGGTGGGCATGAGGCCTCTGAGCTGCGTCCCTGGGACAGGGCACCCCAGGGCATGGCCGTCTGGCTCCATGGGTCGTGGTCAGTTATTCAGCATTTCCCTGGAGCTCTGGTTGTTTGTTTTTTTAAATTGGTAAAATACAAGTAGCATACAATTTGCCATCTTAACCATTTCTTAGCGTCCGGTTCAGGGACACCGTCCCCCCATCTGGCTCTAGAACGTTCCATCCCGCACACGGAGACCCTGTCCCCGTGACGCACGGACCCCCACCTGCTCCCCCAGCCCCGGCCCCGCCGTGTACCCTCTGTGTCTGACGACTCCAGGGCCTCGTGGGAGTGGGGTCCCCGTGCATGTCCTTCTGTTTTCTGGTTGGTGTTCCTCCACCTCCCGTCCTTGGGGCTTGTCCCCATGGGGGCAGGTTCCCTCTAAGGCTGTCGTGTGGCTGGGCCACACTGTGTTCCTGTGCTCACAGCAGTGGACACCTGCGTCGCTGCCCCCCTTGGCCATCACGCATCTCACGGCTATGAGTAAAGGCATCTGCCCCTGCCCGTGCTGTCAGGAGGTCTCTGTTAACCACTGACTGGCTCAGCCGGAGCCGGCTGTGAAGCTTTCCTGCAGTATCATGGGCCTTCCAGACCCTGTTTCACTGCAGAGCGCATCTGGGGACCCCAGCATGCCCTTTTCATTCTCGGCGGAGGCTCTGGCAGCCCGGGTGTGCTCAGCTGGTAAGGACTGTCCTTGGGACCTGGGGGACGGGGAACTCAGAGCCACCCCATGTGGTGGTGGCCAGCATACAAACCGCACACCTGCTCCATTTTCAGGAGGGGCGCTCAGGGTCCCTGCGAAATCCTGCCCTGTGAGCACCTGAGTGTGGTTGACGTGGGGGAGGGCCACGCGCCAGGATAGATTCGGGGATCCTCTGGAGGGGACCCGAATGGAAATGGAGCCCGCGCGGCCCAGGTTCTACAGACGGGAACTTCAGGAGGGATGCCTGTGCGGGGGGGCTTGCTTTGTGAGCAACAACCAACAAAATACCCCCTGGGCATTTGGCATTTGGGGCTCGAGGTGCTAGAGCCTGGCGGGAAGAGCCACTCACAGGCGGGGCTTCTGCTCCCTTCAGGGTGCCTGTGGGCAGCCCGCCGTGGGCCTGGGATGTGGGTGCCCGCTCGCCGTAGGGCCGCACCTGCTGCTTGCGGTGGGAGCCTGGGGAGGCGGCAGGAGACGGGCCATTAGCTTTTCCTCACCATTTGTGAAGGCGGAACAGCCAGGGGCATGCCGGAGTGCCAGGTCAGCTCTGGGCGGTGTGAGAAACCTGGCCACTCGCCCCGCCCCCGCCTGCTGAGATTACACGGATAACTCTGGGCCCTGCTGTTCTGTCTCCGCTGCCCAGACGGTTTCTGCCGGCCGGTCTTTGTTTCCTGTGGAGCAGAGCGCTGCCCCGAGATGCCCAGGTCAGGGAGGGCAGGTGGCAGAGCAAGGCGGCGAGCACGCCATGTGGACGATGCTCTCTCAGCCCTGGTCTGCGTCTGAGGCTCCAGATGCTGGGGCCCCAGCTCGGGATCTGATTGAGCAGGATCCTGTGCCTTTGGTCCGATCACCGTCTCCACCTCCTTCTGTGTGGAGCGGAAGCAGCCTGTCCAGTGTGGGCCACGTCATAGCCACCTGCTGCCAAGCCGGTCACTGGGCCTCGGCCCCTGGGCTCTGACCCAGCCAGTGGGATTGCTGAGCCCGCTGCCCACAGCTGCCTGTTGTGACTTCTCCCTCCTTCACCGCTCCGGCGGCCCCACCAGAGGGAGTGTCACAGCGCAAACCCGGTGAAGTGCCAGAACCTTCTGTGGCTTCCTTTGGCTTCTAGAATAACATCCTAGCCCTTCCCTCCCCCACCCCAGCTCCTGCCCCCTGGGCTTCTCTCCCTGCTGGGTCATGTGGCATCCAGTGCCCTCCATTTCACTGTGGCCCCAGGGCCTTTGCACACCCTGTCCTCTGCCTCAGTCACCCTTCTTCCACATCTTTGCATGCTGGCCCTGGATGCATGGGGCCTGGCTCAAGTTCTCCTTCATGGAGAGCCCTCCATGCACAGTCTCTGCTGTGGTCTTTCTGAACGCTGTGCCTCCTGTTCTCTTCATGCCCGGAGCGCACTTCATGATGAATGTGTGTTTGTATGATTTTGTGCCTGCCGTCTTTCTCCCGGCTGGAGTCCCCGTGGACAGGAACCCGCCTGCCTTCCCCTGGTGACTGCCAGCAGTTAGAACGTGCAGGGCACAGAGGGGCGCTCAGTTCACACTGGGGGTGACGGACAGATGGATGGATGAATGCACGAATGCAGAACAGCCGGGTGGGAGCTCTGGGTTCAGCCAGAGAAGTCACTGTCAATGGTGGGACCATAAGTGTAGCCCAGTGGGGCCTCCCACCATTTTTCTTCTAAAAGAAGAAGAAACAAAAAATGAAACAAAGCAAGAAGTAACCCCTTTGCGTGCCAGCTGGGGTGGGGCCCAGGGCTGCACTGGCCGCGGTGACAGAGGCCAGTGTCCTGAGAAGGATGGCCCCTTTGTGCTCCGTGGGGCGGCCTGCAGTGTGTTCCTGGGCCTGTCTGGGGCTCCGCACAATGGTTTTCTCTGATGCATCGCAGGGAGTTCTCTGAGGCCTGGGCTTCTGGGCAGGAAGGGGGTCCCCGGCGGCCCCTGGTGATGATGCAGTCCGGGCCCCAGGTCCCCCAGGTCCCCTGGGTCCTGCCCTGCTTGCTCTGCTGAGCCCTTTGTCTGTCCCCTGGGTGCCTGTGCTCATTTGCTCTTGGGCGTCCTGCCCCTGTCAGCAGCCATTCGAGGTGGGTGGCTTCTGTGACCCTCAGGTGTGAGGGGGAGGCCCCCCACACCCCCCCAGACTACCGTGTCAGGCAGAGTCTCCCAACCACTGACCCACGTTCCCAAGCTCCCGTCACTGCCCCGACTTGAAGAGGCCCCCAGGAAGACGTGCAGTGTGCGCTGGTCGGGGGGCCATTTGGTTCAACTCTTGGGGAACAGTGTTTAGCAACACCTGCACACACAGGAGTGCCCAGCACTCACCCTGGAGAAGTCGCAGGAAACGTGCGGCCCCCCCACAGGACGGGCACCCACTAAACCCAACAGCTCACCCCCGGAGCGACAGAAGGACGCACCCTGTGATTCTTTTTCGTGGAGCCATGGTCACTGGAAGGGACCTGTCACCTGAGGGGTCCCAGGGGCAGGGCCGACGTCACTGAGCTGTTGAGCTGGGATCCAGGCACATGGGTGTTTGTGAGTCAGACCTCCGTGGGCAGGATTTCACAGCGAAGCAGAGTGTGGGGAGGGCTGGCCGGGGGCTGGGTTGCCAGGACCCTTGAGAAGTTGTCACTGCCCCCCTCCCCACAGTCTCTCGGTCCCCTTTGAGAAGACCAGGAGCACAGCTTCTGGAGGATGTTGTCTGTGGTCCCTAAAACTCCTGGATCATGCATCCCTGCCTCGTGGGAAGGACGGGACATTGTCCTCCTGTTCCTGGAGAGCCTCGTCGCGTGGAAGCTGGGGACCTAGTGGCCTGACCTCCCTGGGGGAGCACAAGAACACAGGCCCAGGAGCAGGCGCTCTGTGCTTAGCCAGGCTGGCGGAGGCTGTCAGGGACACGTGTGCAGGCCCCTGCGGGCGGCTGCTTCTCTGCAGCTGTGGTCTCCTTCCCACGCAGCTTCGTGGTCGGCCGGGTCCCCGGGACCCTCGCTCGCTCGCGTTACGGAGTTATCACCTGCGTGGTGTTTTCTTGCGGATACGCGATTCTGTGCCTCAGTTATTGCCCAGATAATGAGTCATTGATTTCAGTAAGAATGGCGTCCCTGACTCACCGCAGTCCGTTCTTTCCCGACGCGTACCCGTTTTGGCAATGGGCACTATTCTTCAAGCTCATTGACTCGCCGGGGGAATAAAGCTGCATTGTGTCAATTTATAGTAACGGAATCTGCATGGGCACCGCATAATAAACAATCTGTACTATTCTTGCGCGATACGGAACGTGCAGGGTCAATGCATAGTGGCAGCGCTGTGCTGGGCCGCCCACGCACGCTGAAAGGGCCCCTCTCAGCTGGGCCTCATCGGCGCCCCGGCAGCGACTCCACCGACCCCAGGCCCCGGGAGCTGGGTGCTGCGGCCCCAGGCAGGGAGGCCCCGTCAGCATGGCTCCGTGAGGGTGGGCCCGGGGGCAGAGCCCCGGAGGGTGTCAGCTGGGGTGCCTGAGGAAGCACTGAGTCTGACCCACTGTGTGCAGCTGGGGAGACTGGCCCCGAGACCCATCCAAGGCTGATGAGGACTTGAATCGAAGGCCGGCCAGGGAGGCAGGCAGGCCTTCCGCACAGACCAGGAGCCCTGGACGGTGCATCCGCTTCCCACGCAGGCCCGTCTCACTGCCTGTGGAGGGTGGAGACTCAGAGGGCACCATCGTGCTGGTCCAGCCGCGTGTGGCTCTGCACAGGGTTGGGGGTGAGGCAGGCAGCATGGCTGGCAGAGATCCAGGACAGGCCTGGGCAGGGCGGTGGGAAGTTGTGCCTGTGGGCGAGGGGGCCTGGGGGCTGTGGCCATATGTCCCCTTCTTGCCGAGCCCCCTCTGGTGGGCATGGAGGAGGGCTCCCGGTGCAGGACGGGCCACTGTGACCCCACACATCCCCCGTGACTTTTCTGACATTTTTCACTCTGTCCCCTGAAGGTGTATGTGAACGGAGAGTGGGTGACCAGCATCAGCGAAGGGGGCAGCTTTGGGGAGCTGGCACTCATCTATGGCACCCCCAGGGCGGCGACCGTGAAAGCCAAGACAGACCTCAAGCTCTGGGGCATCGACCGGGACAGCTATCGGCGCATCCTCATGGTGAGTGGCTCCCTGGCACAGGAGCTTCAGCAGGGCTGGGGGGTCTGGCACACAGCCAATCATCTCACGGGAACCCTGGCTTTGTCCAAGTGGGGGTGATAGAAAAGAGCTGATGGGATCGGTGAAAAGTGTGGGAGGGATTCTGGAAACTTCTTAAAAGGTATGCGGGCAGCTAGGAGGGCCCCTTTGCCCTTCCTATCTCCTTTCAGCTGTCTGGAATGGGGTTGTGATGGCTGGAGCTCCAGCTGGCATTCTGGACCATGAGGTGACTCTGAGGATGGAAACCGTTCATCAAGGTGGTGGAACAAAGAGATGCCAGGAGCCTGGCTCTCTGGTAGCCCCAGCACAGCGGGGCCGGACTGCTTGGCCCCAGACATCCTCATGCGGGGGTCAGCCCCCAGGTGTTTTTGCCCCTGTCATTTTAGGTTTTCTCTCCTGTGCAGCCACATCCACTCTTCGCTGGTGCAGGGTGGGCACAGTCCCCTATGTGGCGGCCGGGGGCATGGTGAGCTGTGACAGAGAGGCCCTCCCTGGGGAGAGGAGGCAGGCTCTTCGTGTGTCCACTCAGTGCTCATCCCACACACACCACCTGCCAGGCACCGTTCTCGGTGCTGAGATCAGGGAGCATCATCACAGGGGCAGAGCCTGCCCTTGGGAAGCCAGCATGTTAGTGTAGGAGTCAGAGAACAAACACATACCTCAGGTAGCGACAATTTCATGGAGAAAACTACAGCAGAGAAGGGGAAGAGGGGGCTGCTATGTTATAGAAAGGCCCAGAAGAACTTCTGGGATAAGGCGGCTTTGGAGCCAAGGCCTCTGAGCAAGGAACTAGCATATCCAGGAGAAGAGTGTCTGGGCAAAGACCCTGCGGCATGAGCTTGGATGCTCGTGGAGCAGTGGGCAGACCACCATGGATGGGGATACAGGGGTCCCGTGGGGGGTACGGCTCACACAGAGCCCTCAACTCCCACCTGAGTGTGTGGGAGGAGCCCTGCAGGGGTTTGAACAGAGGAGCTTCCGCAGCCGACTGGGGGCTGTCCCGGGGAGGGTGGAAACCATCCTACTCCAGGAGCAGCAAGGAAGCCAGAAGGCTCTGGGCCGGCCACACTGGTCCGAAGACATCCCAGCGCGGTTGAGGGTCTCCGTCCCTCCCTATCCCTGGGCAGAGGCCACCGGAGCTGAGCGCCTGGCCTCTGGAAGTCTCACTCCTCAGCCACCTAGGCTCGCCTGGTGGTGATGGCTGGGACAGGTGCTTTTCCGGGTGGGTCAGGGATGGTATGTGCTCAGACCCAGCATCCCACAGGGCCTGGACCCCAGGAGGGGTCCCGACAGGTCCAGAGGGAGGTGACCGGGGTGAGCTCCTTGCCAGGAGACCTTTGGATTCCACCACATGCTCTCTGGGACTTGACTGTCTCCCCGAGATTGGTCTGGACGGTGCAGCTTCCAGGGAGGGGCTGTGATGCGGGGGTGCTTTGGGGGAGGCCTGGGACAGTCCGTGAGTAGTTTAAAATAGTCCCAGGGCTCAGTCAGGCGGGAGCCTGGAGATGGAGTCCTGCTCAGGCTGCCCCTCCTCTCGGGAATATCAGCGTTCCCCGCCTATCCTGGTCCCACCACAACACCCCAGTTTTCACGACCCAGGGAGAATTCCGTGCAGTCCTGGGGGCGACTGTTTGATCAGCTCCATGCGCGTGAGGCACCCGTCATCCGTGCACTCAGTAAGCATTGACTGAGCGCCTACTGTGTGCCAGGGGCTCTTCTAGAGCCGTGGATACATCGGGAGAGAGCAGCTGAATGTCCCTGCCTCCGGAGCCAAGCTCTCTCTCCTCTTCATCTCCAACTTGCTAGCTCCTGTTTTCTCCAGGAGAGGCTGTGTGCCTCGTGGGTGGGGTGCCCTGAGGCACCTTACCCCCTCCTTCCCACAGGCAGGGGCAGGTTTGGGCGAGGGCCCAGCAGCCTCTGTCCGCCCGCAGTCCCCTCCGCGTGCACCTGGTCCCATGTTGCATAAGCTATTGTTTCTCACCATCCCCAGTGCTGAGTCCTTCTTGGCTGTGGGATTTTTGTGGCTGGAACCTCGTATTCAGGGAAGTTCCCAAACCAGCGAGGCTGCTGGCACTTCCTCTGTCTTAATTCTGGATCCCTGTGCACTAAGAATAGCCGTGGCTGTGCTGGGAGTTGCATAGCTTCTGTGTCTCGGGAATGAAAATGACAGTGCTGGCTGACCCGGAAGGGAGTGTCCCGCAGGACAGTCCCCGTGTTTGCATCAGTCCTGGGTTTGGGCGGATTTGGATGTATCCGTCATACATAGTGGACCCACCATGCATTCACTTGGCACTAAACTGGGACTTGCCAAGGGGGAGATGGGGGGGTGGGGAACTGCCAGGGGGGTCTCCAGGGAGGGGGCCCCTCCCTGTGCATTCAGGCGATAGGGATCCCAGGACATCTGATCCAGAAGCTTCCCTCGAACTTCCTTCTCTTGCCCCTGCTGCTCCATGTGGCATAGGAGCCCCACTGAGCAGGGCCACACTCCATGTCCCCATCTGCAGTGAGGGGGGTCAGGAAGCACTGCCTGTGCCTGCCCTGCCCGTTCTTCCTGGGTCAGGTGTGGGGTGCCCACTCCCTGCGTGAAGAATGGGAAAGCTCCTCAGGCCGCCCCATACCCGTGAAGCAGGAGTCAAGTGCCAGCCTTTCTGGGACAGAGTGGGGTGCCTCCCACTTGGCGCATGAACGGACTCCCAACGTTCACGCGCCATCCAGAGGCTGGTAGCCTTCCCTCTGTGTCTCAGTGGGAAGCAGACAAGGAGCCTGCTGGGCTGAGGTGGGAAATCTGGAGGAAGGTGGGGAGGAGCCCAGGTCAAAGACACAGAGAACATGGTGCTGTCTGTCCCTTCTTCTGATGGGGAAACTGAGGCCCAGAGGGGGTGAGACTGGGCTAAGAGTAGGGAGGGTATGGGTGATCTGGAGTTGGAATGGGAGTGTGCTGATCTTCCCTGTCAGCCCTCCTCCACTGTGCTCAGGATGGCTCACCACTGCTATCACCATCAGCCTCACCATCAATGCCATCACCACCATCATCATCATCACCATCACCACCATCATCACTGTCATCACCTTCATCACCATCATCACCGTCCTCACCACCATCACCTTCATCACCATCATCACCATCCTCACCATCCTCACCATCACCACCATCATCTTCATCACCACTA